GCTGCAACCTGTTGATAGCAAGCGAATTTTTCTCTAACTCAGAAACATCAGTTACTCTGAAGGGCATCATACATCTTACTGAAGGTAAAACTGAAAGGCATTTTCTGAAGATTGGGTCTGACAAATGAAAAACATCCAGATACATCCGAAGTATCGGACTAGAATTCGGGTCCTTTGGGAAAGGAGAAGTCTAGCAACATCTAGCAAATGCTGTGCGTAAAGTTAGTGCCCAGCCGTTGCAGGTTGTTGGATAAATCAATGGTTATTTAGAAAACTGCTTGATATAGGAATGGTAAATTTCTGTTGGAGAATTCTTAGGTGTTCTCTCTGCTTTAAGTATGGCTGGCAGTTTTCCTTTGCTTTACCTGTGAAATAGTTCAAAGCCAAGTGTATATACAATTATATCAGTCCACTTTCAAAGGTACCCATCGTGCATCTGGTGGGGGAAAGATGTGTATTTTATTACATCTTTCACATTGGCCATTTAAAGACAAAGATAAATTCAAATTCTATCTCTTGAGAGAATATTAGCTTTACTGTTTGTTATGGCTTAAGGATACTGGCTAATATCAACAGAAGGATGTACATTTTCCAAATTCACAAGTAGTGTTCTATGTTTAATATCCAAAGCTGAAGACATTCTGCTGTCATCTTGGTCACATACAGATATTTTTGCAGCTCTACCAAGGGAGTTTGGCTATGCACAGCCATTCATTCGAGGCAAGTCATCTTATTTTTTTTTCAAGTTGAAATTAATTTATGTACATCTATGATTAATTCAGAAATTGAATTCATGTTTCTTAAATGGGCTACTTTGTCTTTTTTGTTATTAGGTGATATTTAGTCTGTTGGCCACAAAATTGGGAAAGGAGTAGAAAAAGTAGTAACTGACAACTTGAATCATTAACCAGAGATAATATGAGAATCAGATCACTTCAAAATTCATTTCCTATGTAACTGCATTGAGAACTGCGTATGTTTCGTTGATATGCGTGTTTTTCTGACAATTACATTTGCGAATGGTTCCGTTCTCTCTCCTGTGCGTTTTCTAGACCCTTTTTTTGAGTGGGTGATGTTTCATGAAGTATACTGTATTTTTGTACTTTTTTCCTTCCTTAGCACTGACACAAAAGTAGATGAGGAGATGGGTTTGACAGGGTTCTTCCTTTCACATACTGCTGTCTATGTGGCTGTATCTTGTTTTCTCACTGTTGCTACCACAACTATATTATTGTGCAAATGCTGTATTTTTCTTTGGTGGAGATAAAGTTGTCTTGAGTTTTGTTTTAAAGCGAACTTACGTGTATTGCATTAAATACAATATGCACACAGTGCTTTCTGTGGCACCACACACAATACGAGGGCTCCTCTCTCAGTTTTTATGTAGATGGTGAGAACGTAAGCTTCAGTTGACTCTTCCATTTGAAATTACCAAAAGACGAAGACAACATTAAAAAAATATATTGTTTTTAATCGCTGAGGTTTAGCTATCAGTTACCTTTTTGTGCTTTGGGAATTTGGCATGGTTTCATTTTACTGCACTAGACAAGAGACTTTACTTTTAAGAAGTATTAAAATTCTAACTTCTTATAGTATTTAATATAAAGATGTTTAAAATTACTAACATTGTGAATTGGTTTGATGCTTTTCTCATGTACATCAATCCTTATTTTAAAATAAGATCAGTAACACTATTTTCCTACGTGTTGTCCTTACGTGCCCTACTCGTACTCGAAATTGCTATGGCAGATTAAGATGTGTCAATGGAAGAGGTCAGAGGACTAATATTATTGGAAAGAGCTATGGTAGGTACTATAAAAAGCAAACAAGAAGTCCTTTGGTTCTTTGCAACCACAGCTGTCTGCAAATATACAAATAATTCAGCACTTATTTTAAAATGAATCTGGGTATTGCTAATACCCCAAATTAACAGTTTTTAATTTTAAAATACATGAGAAATGGGACTTTGTCTTGTCCCCAAAGCAGTCATCTAAAATCCGCACCCCCATGATTAGATGAGTTATCACTGAGAAGTTATTGCACCCACATAAAAAGCTGCCATTTTTTTCCCAAAGATGTCAAAGGCTAGAAAGCCAGGCCTTCTCAAAGTAAAATATACTGTGTACTGCGGGGAAAAAAGTGTGAGAAGAGGCATAATCACCAAGCTAAACATAGTCTAGCAAGTTGTATTTAACTATTATCGTGGAATAGTGTTATTCCCTGATAACGAATGCTGGCATCAGAACCAGAAGGATTATTCTCATCTCCGTATCTGTCGTATTTGCATCTAGGAAATATAAAGTTTATTTATAATGAACACTGAGAGTGCTATCTCTCCAGGGAGTAAAGTAAATATACCTGGCTAATAGGGTGTTTGTATTCTTACATAATTAACCATTGTAAGAAGTCGAGTAGATCCTAACTTAAGGGGTATTTGTGTGTGTTTGAGTATTTCTAGCATGGTGTTAGTAAGTTTGAAAAGTGTTTTATAAGCATAGAGCTTATGGGTGTTACTGGGGACAGATGTCTCATTTTAAAGGACAGAGGGTTTTCTGAGATGGCATTAAATGATTAAAATCTATTTATTGCCTAAACCTAAAGTGGAATATGAAGGCAAGTCTTACTGAACAAAGCAGTTCTCTGTCACATCTGACTAACCCAGGGGAAGGACAGCGAACAGCTAGAGAGTGTTTTGAAAACTCTTCTGCCTGTCTTTTGAATTCGGACATTAACAAAGTAAGGACCCTTTATGTGAATGGCTTCCTTTGGTTAGTTATAATTCATTCATTGATTCATTCATCAGATTTATACAGAGCACCTGTCATGAGCCAGGTGTTACTCTAGATGTTAGGGAAACACTGGGAAACAAAAGCTAAGATCCCTGCTTCTATGGAACTTAAGATGTTCTGAGACACTGGATCATACATTCTAGTACAATCACCTTATTAAAACTTAAGATTTTGTGATGTAAACAGCCAGAACCTACAGATAATGTAAATGTTATATTTAAAAAAATACAATTTCAAAGAAATGACATTTAAACCAGTTTTAGGAAAGCTGAAGAGAAATAATATTGATTTTAGTGCTTTTAAGGATGAGCTTATATTGCTCTTAAATGATACTGACTCAATAATCCTCAGCTTCCCAGTTTTTGTGAACTCACTTTGGGTTATGCAATTGCTATACTAACTGAGAAATTAAGCACCTTGCTTGATTTATTGTCAAAAGGAAAAAACAACAACAAAGCCATATTTAAGCAGTCTTAAACTTGTTTATTAGTGTTATCTTGAGTCTACAGAGAACATAAAGCTATGTAAGAGGTAGAAAGCTGTCAAATACCTAATATGAAACTCTGAACTCTCCTGTATTTTACAAAGCTGTTATAACACTTCAATACCTTACTATCAGTGTCTGTTTGCAGCCCTTCCACATTTCTTATACGTAACTGAAACAGTCTTGATATTCTTTTGCCATTGGGGCTGCTTGTCTGGCACACTTCATAGGCGTCTTTTTATTGGCTATTTGGAGAGGAAGCGAGGGGTACAGCAGGGGCGACACAGTCCTGGAGTCTGGTTCATTCTCCAGAATAGAAATAAAGTCCCCCAGGCTCCACCTTTAACACATTCCATCCGGTTGTTGTACAATATCTCGCACCTCCTTTTTAAAAAACTGCCTGAATTTTCTAATCTTTCCCATCCCCAAACACATATAATCTAGTGAATCACATCCTTTCCTTGCATAACTATAAAATTATCCTTTCCCAAAAAGCCTTTTTATAAGTGCCATCTAACACATTCATGGGCTGCTTCCCTGGGCCATCTGGTTTATGATTTATGAATCTACTCATTTTTACTATGAGGATTAGCAAGTAAAATTAGGAAGGTTTCTCAGACTCCTAAAAAAAGTCCTATAAAAATAAAGTGATCTTGTATCAAGAACAAAAATAGCTATTCACTATTTAGGATTATTCATACATTTGTTGCGCCTGCACTGATGTCCTGCTCCTATCTATGGATGTATATATGTATAGCTGAAGTTGACTATGTGTTGCAGGACTTACTATTGTAGGTAGCACTTCAGCCTCCCTAAAACTCAGCAGAGAGAGAGGCCTTAGCTAATAGGAGAAAGTGCATATGAATAAGCTAATATGCATATTCTTTTTTTCCCACCCTTCCCCCCTAATATGCATATTCTATCCATACTGGGCATAATCAGTGTTGAAGGACATAGAATAACAGCACAGGACTGAGTTCTGTATCATAGCCCAGTCTTGGGTCTCAGCTTCATCTGTGAGTGAGTTAGATTAGAGAATTTCTGGTGTCTCTTCTAATCACTGTGGTAACCCCACCTGACACCTTACATAGTACCTGGCTCATTGCAGTTCTAAAATGCCAGTAATACAGTGACTCCTCTAGCAAAAACTTATTTTATGACAGATAACTTTGATAAATGAAAATGTAACAATCATGGTGTTGATGCCATGTACTTTCTCTGTGGTTGGCAAACTATAAACTAACCCCCAGCCTGAAGGGAAAGAGTGCTCTAAAGACCTGGGATTTCTGGCATTGGAAGCGAATGCTGTTTCCACACAGAGTAAATTAGGAGCTGAGGTTTGCTGGCTGGTCACACTCAGATTCTAGTGTGGCAGTACTAGATTCAACTCTCTAAATAAATTTCAAGGCTTTGTGAAAACCTCTCCTCGCATTCAAGGGTATGTTTAATGGTTCCATTCAACAGATATTTACTGAGCACTTTCTAACTGTAAAAGGATAGTGTTTGCTTCTAGGGGACTAGAGACATGCCTACACATCCCTCATCTTCAAAGATGAACTCTATTCAGGATTCTTGTCCTAATCATTGTGGTAACGCCATCTGACACCTTGCATAGTACTTAGCTTTACGGCAGGCTTTAGAAATGGATTGGAACCAAACCAGACACGGTCTGTGTGCTCAATAGTGTTCCTGGATCTTGTTTTAAGAAAGTTCATTTTTCACACAGGTTTTTTTTTTTTGATACATATATTTATTATGCTGTAAAAAGCAACACTACCTGATTGCATTTAAAATAAATGTTTCCCAATTTCAGAATACTTACAACTTGTAGGTTTAAGATTAGATTCACTTTGGGAGGTTTTAGAAGCAAATACATTCACAGCTGTGTAATCCCCAGGAAGAATCTAAATCTGACATCAGGTCATTCCGTCCCTGCCAGACAGACAACAGCATCAAATGGTCAATAGCTAATCCAGCTCTGCAGCTAAAGGGCAGTGTCGGGCAGCAGTGGGGTATAGCATATTACCAAAGATAAGACCAGCAAAAACAACGAAGTATATAAAGCTTTAAATTAACATGACCATATAGAGCTCTTATGATACAGAAAAAGCACATATGTTACTAAAGCCAAAACAAAAAGATCTTTGGAGTTTACTGACGGCAGCAGTTAATAGCACAGTCAACAGCATTTAAAACAAATATATTATTACCAGCCAACAGCAAACAGCCCAAGCAGGAATCGGCGCATAGTCATAAATAACATCAGGAGTAAATAAGGGCACATTTAATTAAACAAAGATTTTACAGACAATTTTGATCTGAAAAAAGATGAAAACTCTTTGTTCCCAAATAATGGTTAGAACCTTTTATTATAGAAAAACCACAAAATCACTGATAATTTTCAAGTCAAACAATTGAACTGTCTTAATATTTCATTTTAATCACACAAAGCAGGCTCCTATTTGAGCAAAGTTATCTCAGTTGATTTCAATTAAAACATGTCTACCCTGTAATATCTTTGGGGATAATGCTGCTCCTGTGCCGCATCTTAAAAATGCTACCTGTCTTCACGGCTTGCTAGATCCATGGGGTAGGTAAGTACTTACCCACCATCCTCCCCGCGAAAGCTCAAGCATGGGAACAGCTTCATGCCTGGTGCAGCGAAGGAACACTGGCCGTGGTTTCACCAAAGGAGGTGCCATCTAGGTAATGGGAGGGCAGTAGCTATAGCCACTGGCTTAGACTGGAAGTAAAATGAAAGCACCTGGAGGCTGCTGGAGTAAGGTGCCATCAATCTTGGTAAAGCTTGGAAGCAGCAGTGTGTGCTCACAGAAAGCAAAAAAAAAAAAAGGAAATTGCTGTATGTGATAACGACTAGCGTCCACGTACTTGAGAATTCTGCTCATTTCACTAAACACAGTTTCAAAGAAGTCCATTTGTGCGCATGTGTGTGTGTGCTTAATATCAGAAGTCCTCACTAACATACCACTTTATCTCCTTGAAGTATGACAGGATAAAATGTATGTGCAATTCCTAGAAAATCCTGTTCTTTCAGTTTTTTGAAGCCCATTTTACTGACTTTCCAAATGAATCCTGAATTACCAACCCAAGACAAAGAAATTATAGGTCACGATTTAAAATGAAATGGCCCTTTTTCTTATTAAACCACAGAGCCCACCAAGAATTACACAATAGAAAATCACAAGAAATCTGGAATGATCCAGTAGTCCCTCAAGGAGGACAAATCTCTTGATGCAGACTCTTAATGACAGGCTTGGAAACAAACATTAGTTGTAGCAGTTCCCATAATATCAGAATAACTTTGGTAGCTTAGAATATTTCTGAATTTATATTTACCCTAGAAGCTAAAAAAAAAAAAAAAATCTTAAAGATCTGCAGTTGCACATCCCTTCATTTTTTAAACTGATAAATTTGACTAATTTATACTTAGTAATTTTGTCTCTGGTTCATCTTTCGTAGACAAATGGCAAAGTTCTGATGCCAGAAATAGGAGGCATTTTCTGACGTACTATGGAAAACATGAAAACTGCATAGTATGCCAGCACTCACTTTCCCAGCTAAAGGAAAGAGGCAGATAGCTAAATGTCTGAGAAGAGAGGCTGGACTAAGGGGATATAGAAAAAGGAAAAAAATTTTAAAGTATTATAACTACATTCACACATATGTTTTGGTCACCAAACATCTTAAACAGATTCCCTGATAAAGTCTAATCAGAATTGGTATCTTACTAACAGTTGTTAACTATTATAGTTTTTTAAGAGTCACATCGTGAAGCTAGGGTGAGAGAGAGACACTTTAAACACACAACCATAAGTGCATATAGTTGTTCAAACACTCAAACTAAATCTGTATTTGAAGTATTGAAAATCACACTGTTTGCTTCTAAAGGCAACCTTGACCCATTTGAACGACTGTACAACAGAGCTTAATTTATAAATGCATATCAGCAGATCATCACCATAAACTGAAAATTCACAAAACACAAATAAATCATGGAAGACCACACAATTAAGCTAGCATTGGTAACTATTTCTTTTACATCAAATCATACAATGCACGAGGTAATATTGCTCACATTATGGAGGGAGATTGTTTTATTTCTGTTTTCCCAAAGAGATCAGATTTGTCCTGTGCGCACAATGAAGAAAACTCCAGTAACACTGAAATGACAAATGTAAAATATACATCACTACCAGATAGAAATACACATGTTCTTCATAATCATTTTCCACAATTAAATAGGTAAGTGATTTAGATCTTGGGATTTAAGACCATTACAACAATCCATCAAGATTCTTATGGACGGTTTGATTCTCCTTCCCATTGTCAGAATCTCCTTGAGGTGTGTACTGGACTTGGTATTCTTGGAGAATTTTAAATACATCATGGTGTCCGAAGTGCAGTGCTTCATCCATGGGAGTGTTGTTCCACCTAAGCAAGTAGCACAGCATGGGCAGGGTCATTAGGTAACTTTTGTACAAAAATAACCACCCCACATTGCTAGATTTTAAATGCGGGTTAAATAGCCAATCAAATTTAGCCATTTTAGCAATTTTACAAATAAAAATTAATAATAAAAATGCAGAAAGGGACTTATAATTCAAAAAGCGGGCTCCAAGACAAGCTGGGATATGGAGAGGAGAGAAGAAGATCTGTGAAAGGATGTTGACACATTCAAGTGCTTATGGACGGAGCTTTTTAAGGAAAGTCCTTGTGTTAACAGATACAATAGCTCTAGGGTTCCAGAATTTTAACTTCATGAAAAGCCGAAGATAACTCTTTTTAAATAAAATGTTCAAAGAAAATTCAGGTATATAACATCCATCACTCTAACCTTTGACCGAAGATTTGTGTTTGTGTCAATTCAAAGCTACAGTAAGTCTCAGAAGTCTAGAAATAACCATGACCTTATTAGGGCTAAAACCCACATTGGCAGAGCAAGGTTGGCCCCAGAGGAACTGGCATTTTCATCACCTCTGGTAAGGATGGGAAGCCATGGACTCAGTTGGACCACTACACCACCGGAAGAATAACTCCCCTCTCAATACTTCTGGGACTGTACTACTTAGAGTGATGGAGATGAAGATTCGAGGATAAGAAGAAATGAAGAGTTGGGCCGGGCGCGGTGGCTCACGCCTGTAATCTCAGCACTTTGGGAGGCCGAGGTGGGTGGATCACGAGGTCAAGGGATCAAGACCATCCTGGTCAACATCGTGAAACCCCGTCTCTACTAAAAATACAAAAAAATAGCTGGGCATGGTGCTGCGTGCCTGTAATCCCAGCTACTCAGGAGGCTGAGGCAGGAGAATTGCCTGAACCCAGGAGGCGGAGGTTGCGGTGAGCCGAGATCGCGCCATTGCACTCCAGCCTGGGTAACAAGAGCGAAAACTCCGTCTCTAAAAAAAAAAAAAAAAAAAAAAAAAAAAAAAAGCGAAACTCCATCTCAAAAAAAAAAAGAAGAAATGAAGAGTTGCCAGAAGTGGTTAATCACTTGTCAGAAGGGGTAAATCTTTTACAAGAGGAGACAGAACTATATAACCCATAGCCCTAGTCAATGACAGGGTATGATAGGTAGTTCCCTTACACTTCACAAACTGTGAAGCCTGTCTTCCTACCCCATCTCTCTCTACTTTGTTACAAAATTCTCCATGGAGGCTCATCTCTCTTTCTCCCTCTATCCATGTGCCACTGTCACCACCTTCCTAGTTTCACTTCTGTCTCCTTTCCTTTCATCTCTGTCCTGAACTTTCTGCCCTCTTAATGGGTTAACAATATGGAAACAAAAGGTTTTTAAAACAGTCTCGTTTTTAAAATATTGTTCAGTAAATTTTGGTAGCTTGTTTTTAAAATCAGGTAAGTAAAACTTTACATGTATCTTTGTGTTTCTCAAACAGCTGAATTCAGTGACTTTGAATAGGCCTTCATCAGTTTAGGGAGTCAGCGGTTTCAGACTTTTGAGTCATCCTCTACAGTATGTAATTATCCATCTTTCTAGAAAAATGGAACTTCAACCGTGTGTTACCCTTTTTACAACTCTTCTTCCATGAATTAATGAAAAATATAAACTTAAAAGAATATACGAATCCCAGCACTTTGGGAGGCCAAGGCGGGAGGATCACCTAAGGCCAGGAGTTCAAGACCAGAATGGCCAACATGGTGAAACCCCTCTCTACTAAAAATACAAAAATTAGCATAGCGTGGTGGCACACGCCTATAGTCCAAGTACTCAGGTGGCTGAGGCAGAAGAATTGCTTGAACCTACGAGGTGGAGGTTACCATGAGTGAGCTCGAGCCACTGCACTCCAGAACAAGACTGCCTCAAAAAAAATAAAAGAATATACGAATTTTGCTCAAACCAATTTTACAATTTAAGGCAACACTGATTCTATGAAATAGAGAAGAAGTCTTGTTGAATATCTAGTTATCAAGTTAGTTACTTAGCTCACTTTTTCTTACCAGACCGGTACATCTGCTTCTACATTTCTAGAGGCCAATTTAGGGCAAAAAAAACATTAACACATATACAAAGCACAGTAATATTTCCAACATGTATACATAGTGTTATAGTATTTTAGTTGGTATTGTAAATGCAGAAAGAAAACACTCTTCAATTTCATACTCTAGAAAGCTGGGATGGGTATTAAAATTGGGAGAAAGGGAGGACTGTCACCCTACATGAGGTTTTAGAATACTGCCAATAAAGGTCATTTTAATCATGGGGTTTTTTGTTTTTTTTTTTTTTTTACTATAGAAATAAAGTCAGGTAATCAGTGTTAGCACACTTACAAAACTGCTAACATTTGTCAGACATTGACATAACTTTTCTGCCTTTCTTGCAAGCTGAGAGCTTAACCAACAAAACCCAAGCCCTACCGGGCGCGGTGGCTCACGCCTGTAATCCCAGCACTTTGGGAGGCTGAGACGGGTGGATCACGAGGTCAAGAGATCGAGACCATCCTGGTCAACATGGTGAAACCCCGTCTCTACTAAAAATACAAAAATTAGCTGGGCGTGGTGGCGCACGCCTGTAGTCCCAGCTACTCAGGAGGCTGAGGCAGGAGAATTGCTTGAGCCCAGGAGATGGAGGTTGCGGTGAGCTGAGATCGCGCCATTGCACTCCAGCCTGGGTAACAAGAGCGAAACTCCGTCTCAAAAAAAAAAAAAAAAAAAAAACCCAAGCCCTAATTTTAAAAAAGAGAGTTGGCCAGGCTTAATGGCTCACACCTGTAATCCCTACCACTTTGGAGACTGAGGTGGGAGGACTGTTTGAGACCAGGATTTGGAGGCCAGCCTGGGCAACATAGTAAGACTCTATCGCTACAAAAAAATTAAAAATTAGCCAGGCGTGGTGTATGCCTGTGATTGCAGCCACTCCAGAGGTTGAGGTGGGAGAATCGCTTGAACCTGGGAAGTTAAGGCTGCAGTGATCTGTGATCATGCCACTTGCACTTCAGCCTGAGTGGCAAGGCAAGACCCAGTCTCAAAAAACAAAAAGCTTAATAAACAAAGACAATATAGCTAAAGAGTAATCAACTTGCTCCACACTGGATTACGGCTCCCGGTTCTCAAATGAATCCAAACTCCTTATACATAACAAACCACCATCAAGTGTGTTTTTCCCCTTTCTTCTAAACTTCTCATTACTCACCGATTTATCCACTCTACTCCAGTACATAATGTCCAAGGATACGAGTATAGTTTACTGTACCATGTATGTGTGTAAGCTGTGTTCTTATTTCCCTGGCCACTTTGTTGGCAGCATTTGCTGAAGGATGAGTAGCAGTTTGCTATGTAGACCAGGAGAGAGAGGAGAAGAGCAGAATATATTCTAGGCATATTTCTCCCACTATAGATAGAGTGGCCCTTCTTCTCATTCTGTGCCTTCAGTCTCCTCTTCCGCAAGCAATGATTAAAATTTAACTTCCATGAAGCCTTCTAAAACTGATCCCAACCAAATCCACAAATTTCAACACATTATTTCACATTATTATTAAAAACCGAATCATGCTATATAAATGTTGAATCTCTGCCAACAATCACTGGCTTCTTTGCAAATTTTGAGAGAGAACATTCAGTGTTAAATTATCATCTTAAAATTTATGCTTCTCTAAAGGTTTATCTTGTCTGTGCTGTGTAGTTAAAAACCCCAAGAGGACAAAATTCCAATTTTCATTTCCAAAATGCCAAAAAAAAAATTGTTTTCTTCATACAGTGTATTGACCGATAGTCAAACTAACCTGAAAATTTCTAAATAAGTCTATTGACTATAACCTGAAAATTTCTAAAAATTCTTAGATAAGAAACAGGATATGGGAGATAGAATTACCTACCTAGCAGTAACAAGGTGTATTGACTTTATAAGCTATTACAGCAGGCTCAAGAATGTCTTCGTGGGTTTAAAACTTGACTGTTATAGTCCTACATAATAAAATACTGACATATTTAGAAAGTAACGTAAGTGCTCACCTGTCCTTGGGGAAAGGGTTTACTTTGCAGGCTTCCAGCAAAAATTTAACAACTTCAACATGACCTATACCGTCCCACCCCAGAAAAAGAAAAGCAGATTTTAGTACAAAATAGAAATTAAATCTGGAAAGAAAATAGATAGGAGTAGTTTCTGTGTTACCCTCTGCAGCAGCTACATGGAGTGCTGTTCTGGAATCATAGTCCCGCTGTTCCATGTCCATAGCCGACAACGCAAATCTGCAAATTGTAAAAACAGCTATTCATTGTATATGAAACAAATTTAACTCACATTGGATTTATAAAACAAATTTAACATTCATCGCATCAGTTCATCTAAGGCCCCATCTTTCATCAGGCTCATTGAGGGGAACTGCAGACCTTACGACCAGTACACAGGTGTTTTGGGTAAATGCCACTTCACCTCTCTTCTTCAGCTTTGCTTTCTTTAGGTAAGATTAAATGTTAACCACCTCTCACAGAATTGAGCTTTATTATATTATTGTTCAAAAATCAAGAATTATGCCACAACTGGACCAAGGTTTATATCTAAGAATGGCAAGAAACTAAGCACTATAATAAAGTTGTGTTTTTACTAAGACTCCCATTCTTGAACATTTCACAGTCTACAAGTATAGTATTAGTCAGACTTTAAAACAAGGAGGGGATGAATAGACAGTTTTCCACTTTGAAAATCAGCTGTTTGAGGCCTTAATGGGAGCAAAAAGAAAAGGAAAGAGAAAATCAGTCACAGCTCTACACAAAGGACCTTAAGTATACTGCAGTATATGGCCTTGCTCATCCTGGTGATCTGCAGGACACCAGACGCCCCAGTTGCTTCCCCCTGCACACACACCCACATCAAAGATGGGGAATGGAGGGTAGACAGGGAGAAGGTATCGTCCAATTGCAGTAAGCCACTGATACTAATTAGCCAGATTAGCTGAACAGTCACTACTTGAAACAGATACTGTCTTTTTTTCAGGAGGCAGAAAAGGAAAAGATTGGACAGCAGGCCTAAGGCACTGGAAGTGCTGATTTAATAAAAATCTGTTGGGGTCATTTTTATTAAAGGGAAGAAGAAGTGAGGCTTTAACCTTAAAATGGCTGCTGGCCTGGAAGCAACTTCATAAATATCTGTAAAGCGCATGCTAATCCATCCTGTAAACATACCTTCGAAGTGCAGACACATCTCCAGTATATGCAGCAAACAAAAGATTTATCACTGACTTTACCTGTGAAGAAAAGAAAGTTTAGGTATCCATAGGGCAAAACACATACAACGTCCATCTGTCACTGGTAAGTGATTTTCATGTGCTTTGAACACTTCAGCTGAGTCATGTGCAAAAAATCACCTCAAGTACACTTCTATAGCCAAAGAATGCATATGTGTGGTATTTTCTTCTTTTAACAGTGGATTGCAAGGGAAAAATCAATAATAAAGATACACGAGGAAAGGAATGGAATAAAATATATATATATATATATATATATATATATATATATATTTTTTTTTTTTTTTTTTTTTTTTTTTTTGAGACGGAGTTTCACTCTTGTTACCCAGGCTGGAGTGCAATGGTGCGATCTCGGCTCACCACAACCTCCGCCTCCTGGGTTCAAGCAATTCTCCTGCCTCAGCCTCCTGAGTAGCTGGGATTACAGGCACGCACCACCATGCCCAGCTAATTTTTTGTATTTTTAGTAGAGACGGGGTTTCACCATGTTGACCAGGATGGTCTCGATCTCTTGACCTCGTGATCCACCCGCCTCGGCCTCCCAAAGTGCTGGGATTACAGGCTTGAGCCACCGCGCCCGGCCAGGAATGGAATAATATTAATTGGCACAAAAGTGGAATTTTGTGAAACTTACATCATTGGAGCAACTGAAAACTGTTTGGAAGCCTTCCCATTCTGTATATCTCAATATTGTGAGCAAGTTTGTATGCTGGTAAAATTCACATTATTAAAAACTATATCATGCTGTATAAATGTCTAATCCCTGCCAACAATCTCTGTCCTCACCAATCACTGGATTATTTGCATATCTTAAGAGAGAACATTCAGTGTTAATTATCATCTTAAACTTTACTTGACTGGAAAGATAGCCTTTATATCAATGCCCAGGTGGTACAAATTGAGTTATTCACAGAACTTACGACACTGATCTGTTTAAAAGGTTTCTAAACTCCGAAAATATTAAGTCACCTCCATTACCTGCTCCAAGATTTCAAAGTGTATCTACTTTTGACAGTTATCCACTTGCCTTTTCTTACAGATAAGAGGAAAAGGCTAGTCATCCGAAAAGCCATTGGATTTTGCTCTGCTTTCATAAAGACTTTATCCATCCCTATCTATGAGAAATTAAACTATTTTGTAGAATATTTGTAAATGCTTCATAAATTCCCCACTTTCTCTTATACTTTGCAACTTTGACATTCATATTGATGACTCAACTGATACTGGACTCAATGGTAGAAAACAGAAGTTTAACTGGAGGAATGGAAAGTAATCCAGCTCTCCATCAACAAAACCACAGCCCTGAACTGTGCTTCAAGACCTTAACCTGGACATTTTCCCTTGCCACCGTGGCCTCCCCCTTCCACAACCCATGAGCTTTCCACATTAACTGGAACGGACCATTGCTGCAGTTCTCTCATTCAGCATTTTCAAAGTGTAATCTGCAGAAACTAATCTACAAAATGGTCCGCGAAAATAAGGGTCCTGTGGTTGGATATGAACTTAAAATGTTAAATCCCTCTCTTGGAGATTCATTAGCATATGAAAGGCTCTGTCAAGGTCTACAGTAAAGGAACCTAACTAGCTGAGCATACCCCCAAAATACTACTATTACTATTTGTGTTGATATCAAAAAACCTTAACCCCTTACTCCTTCAGTCCTTTAGCTTCCCTCCCAGCCATCCTTTCCTACTCTTGCCCAGTTTGTACCTATAGTTAATCCCTACAGCCCAGAACAGTTTTCTCAATGGGGAACGGGGGTGGAGCAAAGAACTAAAAAGCATCACCCAGAATGTTCTAAAAGCATACATAAACATCTCTCCCATTTCTTGTTGTCCTACTCCTATACCTCAATTTGATACATTTTAGGGAAAGGAAGTAAATGCATAGAGTTTCTTTTTTATAGAGATGGGGTCTCACTATGTTGGACAGGCTGGTCTTGAACTTCTGGCCTTAAGCTGTGCTTCTGCCTTGGCCTCCCAAAGTGTTGGGATTATAGGCGTGATAATGCCCAGCCAAAATTTTGTTTAAAGTCTCCTGGTGACTTTGATATGCACACTCTTCTGGGTTATGACCCATTGTTTCCCTTAATATCTTTCTTTTTTAATGGGGTCAGCTCTGAATTCTCAATTCCCTTTTTTCTCTTGGGTCACAGAATACTGACTGGCTATTATAGATTATCCTCCATATTTCCACCTGGTTTCTCATTACTGTTTGACAATTTTTCTTCTTGGTTCCCGCCATACTTTCGTCGGTCCTTTAATATCAGTGGAGCCCCTAAAAACAGAAGATCCTAACTACAACTTTGCTGAAAAGATAAAAAGCTGTTTTCATCTCTCAAAGCAAAAAGCTTCCTCATTTCTGAGACTCATATTTTATCTATTCCTTCGAACATTTACTCTCCAGATCACCTGCCCTTGTTCCCTTACTGATCCCCTTTGTTGCTAGCATCTTTAACTTTTCCTCTTCACTGGTTCCCTTAGTTTACCTTAAAACAGACATGACTTCGCCCTATTTTGAAAAACCAACACTTGACCCTACTGTTCTCCCTTCAGTGCATATTTCCTGAAAGTATATTTTTAATTCCCTGAAAATTACCTACACACTCATTGTTACCTCTAGATAGTGCTCTCCGAAGCTCCAGCAGCTTCCTAAGCCCCAGTTCCTTCAGCTCTCCCCAGCACCCTCCGCCCTCTCACGACTTGCCTTCCATGCTGATGCATCAACCTCATCTTCCTCCTGTTTGCTGCTTTGCAGATTCATTACCCACTTTCCACTGTCTAATAATACTCCCAAAGGCAGTTCCAATCTTCTTGTTTTTCAATATAATGTCCCTCAAAAGATTTCTATTCCTCTGGGCAGATTGACTTCCCCAATTTTAATCTAAGTCTTTGCTTCTAAGCTCCAGCCCTACAGCTCCACTTAATAGTCATTTCAAACAAAAACAGCAACAGCCCTGCCGGCTTCCCACCTGGCTCCAGTTCAGAACTCTCTGCCTACTTGCCATTGCTTCCAGGACTTTTAACAGGCATCTCAGACTTATACCCAAAATAGAATTTGCTTTGTTCTGTCACCACTCACAGTCAGCAACTCTTCTAGTCTCCCCAGTTTGGGGGTGACGCTACAATTCATCCACTCACTCAGGCCACAAACTCAGGGGTCATCCAGTGCTACTGCAGTTGTTTGTACAGGTTGAATCCTTCACAGGGATGCCTGGCCACAGAGCCAACACAGGTTACCACCCATGCTCTTCCCGCCAAAGTGTCCTAGCACCCACGTACGTCTGCTGGGAGGAAGAGTTTCTTTACCCAGTTGTACTGAGAAGTGCTTCTGACCAGAGACAGAGTTAGCTTTTTCTAATTCACAGAAATTCACCATACAGACCCTGGGGGGTATTCCCTGATTCTGTTCTTTCTCTCACAACCCACATCTAGGCTCATCAATAAATCCCCTTTGCTTTACCTGCAAAATATGTTTGGAATCATATCACTACCTCTATCACTACTGCCTTACGCCTCATCTGAGCCACCACCTCTGCTGCCACAGGGATCTTTTAAAAACATCAAGGAACTCCCGTGCCTTTCCATCATACCTAAAGTAAAATCAAACTCTGCCAAGGCTTTCGAGACCCTAACAGCTCTACTCCTGGTTACATTGTACATATCATTTCTACCACTCTTCCCGTTCCAGCTCTACTCCAGCTAGAATGTCTTGCTGGTCTCAAGGCACTTCAGGCCTACAACTGGCTGCTAGAGATGCTCTTTCCCCAGGTAGTCAGGAGGCTCCTTCTCTCCCTCCCTTTGGGTAGGTCTCCACTCAAATGTTCTCTCAAGGCTCTAAAATACTCCCCTCTTTTCATCACTCCTTGTCCCTCACCTTGCTTTTCCTCTACACACACAAACACACACACACAAACTATATACTTAACCACATTTATATATAGTCGTATATAAATACATATAACATATCATAAAGTATATATGTTTTTATATATACTTTTTTGTCTCTCTCATTAAATGTAGGCTCCATGTGGGCAGAGGCCACTTGTCTTTTTGTTCCCCACCGTAACCTCAGTGTCTATCACACATAATAGGTGCTCATTAAATATCTATGGACTAAGTGAATATTCTCCCCAAAGCATCAAATATTTAACTTTGGATATTAAATTGTAAAATTAATTCCTCTATCTGCACCCACCCCCCTCTTTTTTGTGACCGGGTCTCACTCTGTCTCCCAGGCTGGAGTGCAGTGGCAGGATCTTGGCTCACTGCAACCTTCACCTCCTGGGTTCAAGCCCACCTTGGCCTCTAGAGTAGCTGGGATTACAGGCATGTGCTACCACACCTGTCTAATTTTTGTAGTTTTTGGTAGAGACAGTGTTTCACCAGGTTGTCCAGGCTGGTCCGGAACTCCTGACCTCAAGCAATCCGCCTACCTCGGCCTCTCAAAGTGTTGGGATTACAGGTGTGAGCCCCTGCTCCCAGCCCATCTCCCCTAACTTTCACATATTTGAAAATCATTACAAGATTTATTCAATTGTTACTGGTGCCTTTGCTTCTGGTCCTTCTTCCACCCTCCAAAACCTCTCCACATACTTCTAATCATATTCTCAAAACACTGCTCTAATCACTAAAGGCTTTTAACCAGGGGGAGTATCAAGAAATGCAAAATCATTCCTGTTAACATTTAAGTTCTTTAGCCTTGTATTCAAGGTTCTTCAATCCAGCTAACTTAACTTTTCTTCTCAACCTCGATAGAGCAAAATTGGTCTGCCTTACTGCCCTTGTTTTTGTCTTGGTATCTTTGCTCTTCTAAGAACACTCAGATTCCTAATTAAATCTTGCCCTTTCTTCAAAGACTAATGGCTTCCCCAGGCCATCCCAGCCCAGCATTCATTATCTATGTAGCTTATTGCCAGCTGCCCACACAGTGCCCTGTGACAGCATGTGCCAGGAACAGAGTCAGTTAGATACCTCCACTCCCATCACAACCCTGGATTT